GGAGAGGAGAATCATACATATGATTGTTATAACCTAAGGTGAATGAATTGATGAAGTAGGAATTATTAGAGTTCAAATAAACATGTTGTGAGAGCATCTCCAGCAAAGCTAGCTATACTATTCACTTGATTAAATTTGATTCGTGGATAGCTAGCTAGTTTCTTGGAGAAGTGTCTTTGAGTTCATTGGCTGAAAATGACTTAATTAAAAGTGAGTTTAACTAGTTTGTTGGAGCTGTTCTAACTCTAAGTTTGGCATATCATTTGGCTTCTACATAAACTCAAAAAACAAAAATATGATTCAAAATCTTGCAATTAGAGTAATATTTAAGGATCACATAGAAGTAGGAAGTGATCAACTGATCATGCATATTGAACTCAAATTTACCAAGCTGGATGTATAGTTGAATTTGAACTTTCAGAACTGCAAGAATCAGTGGACCCAAAAAGTTTGTTTAAGTAGTTCAATTTTCTGTCATCATGCATCTTCCTAAAAACCCATTAACCAATAGAGTGTTGTAGAAAATTTTTATTCACCCACACAAGACTGGTAGCTCAGTAGCTGGAATGGTTGGAGAGAGAGAGAGAGAGAGAGAGAGAGAGAGAGAGAGAGAGAGAGAGAGAGAGAGAGAGAGAGAGAGAGAGAGAGAGAGAGAGAGAGAACATTCAAAGATTTTGCATATACAGAAGAAGTACCTGATCAGGTGAACTCGTGTACTGCTAAACAAGGCAATTGGGAAATAAATGAGTTTCAATTCTTAGCAAATTGAAGAAGCTCATTTTTATGGCTTTTGTTTCAAGAAAATAATTGGTGAGAGAGAGAAGAGAAGATAGCACAATATGGGTGAGGGAGCAGTTTTTAGTGGGCAAATTAAAAGATTGAGAGAGAAAAACAAGAAAGATAAAATGATTGTGAGAAAACAAATGGTTTGGCCTCCCATCCCTCCATACCAAATACTCACATGCCCTCTTCCACATCTTGCTATACCAATCCCACACTCTATGTATTTTTCTTAAAGACACCATAGAGAGCGCAACGGAGGATCAGGCTAGAAAAACTACAGACGCTCCAAGATATGATTAAGATCAAAATTATAAATTTATTTTGTGCTTCCATTATTAATATCTTTCTTACCTTGCCCCCAATATATGATTGAGCTTCTGGTATCTTTCTTTACAGACTGGAAATTGGCTGGCAGCAGCTAAAACAACAAAGGCAGTCACAGAAGCAGAAGCAATAGTAGATCTAGGAGCCCTTCATCCAACCCGTATAGCTCGATCAGCAATGCTTCTTGTGTTTTTCTGCCGTACTAGATAGAAAGTAAGATTTCTATATTTTGCATTGGAAAAGAGAGAAATGATGAAGACCATATATCTATATATATACATTTATACATATATATGTGCGCGCGCACACGAACAACTTGTGGCGGTGAAACTTTCTTGAATGTTATGATTAGATTTGTGAATTTGTCAGCATTATTTTTTTCGTTTAATTAGGGCAAAGATTTATCCTTTTTGGGGATATCAAACTGCTTGTGGCTTTAAAAGTTTACCTGGGTTTTGGGATAAACTTTCCGAAATTAGTAAGATAAACTATAGAAGCATAATATTTTGTCCTGAGGTGGAGTGGTCATGGGTAAGAACTCTGATGTAAGAGGAGTGCACATGCACATGGCAATGTTGGGAGGGTTAAAAAGCATTTACCTAGGTTTGTTGAAGTTACCAAATTTACTCATGCTCATGGAACAATGGAACATGGAACATGGAAGGGTTTGTTCAAAGGAGCAGGATTCTCTTCCTTCTTTTTTTCCCTCCTCTTCCCTCTTCTCAATTGGCGGAGAGAGAACCCTACTTGATCAAATTAGTTCTTCAAGTACACGTTACTATATATGTTAAGAGGATTGGATGGGTTGAACTAAAAAAAATTGACAGTGAATTTCTTAAAGGAAAAAAAATCAAGTGTAAGTGCTGTGGTTATACCAAAGCATAAGGAACTTGAAGGAAACTATACAAGTGTTACCCTATCCTACAAGGTATTGTGTGTTTTGGTTTTTAACACAATCGATATTAGTGGAGGGAGATGAATGCTAACATTTAGGTTACAATTGTGATATAATTCGATGCTATGAAGTGCAAGGTATTGAGTTTTACTTCAATATACGAGTTGATCATCACTAGGGTTTTGTTATCGATTGAAAAATATTGCCCTCACTCACCATTTTTACTAACCTTGGAGTTTCCAAACACTGCAGTTGGGTATACTTGTCATGAGGCAAGGTATCAACAGTAGCGAAAATAAGCAGTGTGTGTAGAGACTTGGCTAATTATAAATTACAAACTAGAATTTGTGGTAAATGTTATATGGAAAAATTTGAAATAGGTCCAATTTTATAGACTACCTTTTTAAATAGGTCCAATTTTTAGTGACTTTTGACTTTTGAAATAGGTCCAATTTTTAGTTACTTTGGATCCATATAAAAAAAACCCCATGTTATATATAGAACTTGATTCTTGGGGAATAGAGAGAGATGTTTTTGGTTTGAAATCCATTGCCAAAACGTGAGTTACAAACCTTGGCAGATCCGAACAAGAAGTGGCTAGCTGCATACATTTCTCTTCAATAAGCACAACCTTTTAAGTTATCAATTTTTGGCTTATTTTTAGTTACGCTCCTGTAACTCTATTTTGATTTCACTGTGCCCGTTATAATTGAAAAGTTATCACTTTACTCTCTGAAACTCAAAATTCGTACTACTTTGATATGTGAACTCACTTTTCTCCCGAAAACTTATAAGTAACCTCCTAAAACATAAGTGGGACCTAACACCCAATAAGACTATGCCACAGTTCAAACAATCAGAGAATGTTAAGTTTAAAAGAAATTGAAGAGATGAAAAAGATAAAATATAAATAAATTGATTAGCATGGCGCACTCAAATCCAACCCACATAAAAAATTAATAGATCTAAGGTAATATGGAGCGAATTTTAAGTTTTATAAAGACGATTTTCAAGTTTCAGAGAGCAAAATGTGATCAAAATCGAGTGCTAAAGGACAAAGGGACAAAGTAAAGTGAATTTTAAATTTCAAAAAATAAAATGATAATCTTTAAATTACAAAAAGTAAAATAAAATTGAAATCGAATTCTAAGAAGTGTAGCTAAAAATAAGCGTAAGTTTTTGTTAACTTAATATCAAATTTAAGCTGGGGTGAGATTTCTGCTTTTTCCAGGGAAGTATATGATACTCACCTTTAATTCTGTGGTACTCACACATGTGGTAGGCCCTAGAACCACGTGAACAAACTTTTCACACAGAGACATCTTATCCGTTCACGGCCTGATGGGATCACATCAGACGACACAACCTCCCCTCATGCTCAAGTGCTGACCCTTTCCTTGGTTGGCCCCAACCCCTAGTCTCTCTGGCAGATAGAAAAATCAGCCCCAGAACATGGTCCCTCCCAACGATTGTGATTGCCTCAGAGAGAGAGAGAGAGAGCATGGGAGTCATGCCGCCATGTGTTGCTATAACGTTGTAAAGAGAAGTTACACAGCTACGAACCAACTTGGGTTGTCTGATGTCACACTGGGATTGCAGCTTCAAAATATTTTAGGTGCTCCGGAGTATCCTGTATTTTATGTCTTTCACGAAACTTCCTTCTTAGGTTTTTTCTCGCAGCCTTGTCACTTTTTGAATTCTTCTTTCAGATCGCCTTTTGAAAAGCGGAAATGTAGGGGTCATGATAATCTAATGAGAGGGATCTTTTCACAAAGCCAGAAAGAGTTTGACATTTTTAAATAAAGATTTAACGGTTAAAACGTAAAAAACACTAGATACACCAAAAAAAGTCTCTCAGCTATTTCTTTTATCTCTGTGTCACTTTCCCGTCATTATATGGGATTGTTGGGTGATGGCCCAAACTAAAAAATGGGCTTTTTTCAACTTTTTGGCACAGTGATAGCTCAAGGACTTGAGGTGATTTTGGGGGGCTCTAGATTGCTTCATAACCAAAAGAACAAAAGGTCCAAAAGGCAAAGAAAAGAGATTTCTGAGTTCTTGTGGGCTCAAGGCGGACCATGCCCATCTATCAGTCACTTTTCCTGTAATAATAACATGCAAAATGGAACGTTCTCTGTTTATATTGCCACAATATATGACTAAAATGAATATGTTCAAACAAGATTCAACCTGATCAATTGTTCAAAATCACAATACGATAATACAAACATTTTACATCTTCAAGCAATACGGAAAGCAAAGTTGTGTGGTTGGTGGCTTCTGGGTTTTCTCTCTGGTATTGAGATTTGGGAGAGAAGACTCAGACGAGGGGGAGAGACAGAGACAAAGAGGAAGAAATAGGAAGAGGGAGGAAAAGAAAGTGGAAGAAGAAGGGAAATAAATTAAATCAAAATCCGACCGCAAGATCTGAATCAAACAGCTAATATGACTTGGTCCTCAGTATCTGGAGCCACGGATCCGGAGAGGACCTGAATCCTACAATTCTATTGAAGAAGACTGGAGTGGAGAGTGCCATTTTCACCTAGCACACCAAGTGGTAGGTCCAATTCAGTTCACAAGTTACAAAATTTGAGTTATTAAAACACAAAATACTTATAACACGTGACAACATTTGTCACTTAACATGCCATGCCCACCCAAATTTTGCTAATCATATGACCAATGTTTTTCTTTTCGGTTACAAATCATAAGACCAAAATCTTCATGAGAAAGAGGTTGGTGTCCAAAAATATTTCTCATTAAAACTGCCTGCTCTCCCACAAACCATACAATTTTTCCTTCTCCTAGCAATTTAGACATGATCAATATGTGTCATTTAGGCAGAAGGGTCAATAAACTTCCAACTTCCTCGCAGTCAATTTCGTTCATTCCATAACAAACTCTAGGACACAACACACAGCCCCCTCCCTCCCTCTCTCTCTCTCTCTCTCTCTCTCTCTCTCTCTCACCTCCTTTCTTGAAACCAAACTCAACAGAAATGGGAGGTAGCAGCACCAACAGCAACCACAAACTCCAAGACTCCGAAAAGAAATCGTCACCAGCACTAGTGGCTCCTCTAATGATAGGCTTCAGAGCCACCCTCACTTGGGTTCTCCTCACCGTTTCTGTTCTCTACGTCCTCTACTACTCCAACCGCCTTCTCTACGACCACCAAGATTGTCCAACCACCGCCGTAGATCCCTCCACCGAACGGAACCTGGAATCCATCTCCAATGTCACTACTTCAGCTGATCTCAAACTCGGGAAGGACCACAAAGAAGGCGACGAAGAATCCCCACAAGTGGCTGCACTTTATCAAAAGCCTCAGGGATACGACACGGAGCTTAAACACATTATGTTCGGGATAGCTGCTTCGTCAAATTTGTGGCAGAAGAGGAAGGAATACATCAAAGTTTGGTGGAGGCCTAACGAGACTAGAGGGGTAGTTTGGTTGGACAAAAGGGTAAGGGCTAGAAGAAGTGAGGGGCTACCCGAGATTCGGATTTCAGGAGACACAAGCGGATTTAAGTACGTGAATCGTCAGGGGCGGCGATCTGCATTGAGGATTTCAAGGGTGGTTTCGGAGACATTGAGGCTTGGAGTGAAGGATGTGAGATGGTTTGTGATGGGGGATGATGACACGGTTTTCATCGTGGAAAATGTGGTGAGGATTCTCAACAAGTATGACCACACGCAATTTTATTACGTGGGAAGCTCGTCGGAGAGTCATATTCAGAACATATTTTTCTCGTATTCTATGGCGTATGGTGGAGGAGGTTTTGCTATAAGTTATCCCTTGGCAGTGGAATTGGAAAAGATGCAGGACCGGTGCATTCAGCGCTATCCCGCATTATATGGCAGTGATGATCGAATGCAGGCTTGTATGGCTGAACTAGGCGTGCCACTTACCAAGGAAACTGGATTTCATCAGGTAAGAGGGAAACAAAACATGAAAAATGTTTGAAAATTGGCAACTGATCTGTGTTTTTCTCCTTTTTTTCTGAGTATTGCTTGAATCCGAAAACTTTGGATCCCGAATGACGAGGAAATGTTTCATTTGTTTATTTACGACTGTGTCATCTGCTACATTTGGTGACCAGAATTTTGTGATTCTAGTACTAGTGTGTTACATTCTTATCAAGTATTTTGCATCAGCCATTTTCTGGCTTCATTTTTGTGGATTTTTCATCAATGAAATTGAATGTGATGGAGTTTCAGATGTCATTTTACATTTCTTGGTATGCAAGAATTGTTGAAATAACTTGCAAATACAAACTATGAACTCTGTTTCTTGTGCTTGTGCAGTACGATGTGTATGGAGACCTACTAGGCCTTCTGAGTGCACATCCTGTGACTCCTATGGTGTCACTTCACCACCTTGATGTAGTTGAACCAGTTTTCCCGCACATGAGTCGAGGGAAAGCGCTTCATCATCTATTCCAATCCGTCAAGCTCGACTCGGCTAGTATAATGCAGCAATCAATCTGCTACGATAAAGATCGATACTGGTCCATCTCTGTTTCATGGGGCTATGTAGTTCAAATCATTAGGGGAATCATGTCTCCGAGAGAACTAGAGACGCCCTCAAGAACCTTTCTGAATTGGTATAGAAGAGCTGATTACACAGCATATGCATTCAACACAAGGCCTGTGCCCAAGCACCCATGTCAGAAACCCTTCATTTTTTACTTGAGCTCAACGCAGTATGATCAGGGTGGAAAGAAAATTATTGGCTACTACACTCGTCACAAATCTCCCATTCCTCACTGCCGATGGAAAATGGCGTCACCAGAGGTAGTTGATTCCATCGTAGTCTTAAAAAGGCCGGATCCTCTTCGTTGGGAAAAGGTACGATTTTTCCAGCACATGAAATTTGACCCATAACTCCAACGCATCGTTTCTTTTACAACACATAAAAGCATGTATCAAGCAAAATTATGAATTAGGGTTACTGGTTTTACCGCACTCACATTGATCCTAATACTATCCTCATATATTTCGTTCATAATTCCATTTCTAACTGAAAGAAACTTCCTTTTGCAGTCACCGAGGAGAGATTGTTGTAGAATTCTTCCATCGCAGAAGAACTCGACCATGTACTTATTGATCGACAACTGCAGAGTAGGTGAGGTTAGTGAGTTGTAGAGGCTTGTAGGAATAGGGAAACATCTCTCCTTGATCTATTTTTGTATCTGGTTCTGCTTCCCGTGGTCCGAGACTTTAGAGGGTTATAGGAATAAAATCAAATGGCAAGTTTTGATGGGAATAGAATACGAAAAGGTCCCTTGTTAAATTTAGCTTCAATAGAAAGTTCATAAAATATCATCAATGGTGAAATCAGACAGCTACGAATTGGAAATTCATTGTTCTTACTTTTTATGTAAATTTGAACCGAGTACACTATTCACCGTTGTTATCTCTGTAAAGCCTAACTACGACAAGTTCCTTGCCAGTGCATTCAGCGTATCAAGCAGATACATCTATGAACGTCTTCTCCTAGCTTCGCATGAATCGCAGTTCTAAGTTGTTTACAAGATTGACAAAAATAGATTCGTGAAGCTGTTTTACTGTAGTGAAAAGAAAATTGGTCATCATTCAGTTTTGCTCACCACTTGGAACTTCAGTTGCATTGTTGACCGTGAGATTCTGAGGAACTGTGGCGACTGGTGACATGGCCAAGGCTGCCAGGATTGCAATATCAATTCGAGTCTCATTGAGAAGGAGCGGTATCTCAGTTTCGACTACAGATGTAATTCTTCCGTCAATGCTCGCCACTTTTACTGTTTTCGAATAAAGGCAACAGATAGTTGATCAGAAAAGATTAAATTCCTCTCACTTACACAAACAACCACATAATCATATTCGGAGGTATCATTTTCTTAAAGAATCAAAGAAATAACTCAATTTTCTTTCCCGATAAACCAGTTTAGAGCAAATGAACGATACCCCATTTCCCCAAATGGTAATTTATATTCACAAACGTAATGAACAAGAAATCGAAACAAGCAAAACCAATAAAGACCAAGAGATTGAAACTTTGTCCAAATTTTCAAGCCAGAACAACCACCCCATAGTCATATACAAAAGTAGCGATTTCAAAAGAATCGAAGCAATTTCTCAAAATTTCCTCCCAAGAAACGAAGTTCGGAGCAATAAAGTACCCTTTTCCCCAAATGGTAACTTGTTTTCACAAACAGAATGAATTATGAAGTAGACATCAAATAAGCATTTATCAAGAAACAATAACATAAACCCATCAAAGAAATCAGGCAGAGAACCTGAAGAGATCGAAATTTTTGACCCCGTTACAGAAATCACATGTCTAGCAAAAAACTCATAATTCATATACAGAAAGGACCAATTCCCCAAAGAAATAAATTTCAGATTAAACAGAAAGTTCCCATCTAACTAAACAGAACTACAGAAATTTATCTTCAGAAACAGAATTAATAAGGAACCCATCAAAGAAATCAAGCAGATAAAACCAAGAAACCCAAATTTCGTGTCGGAATTTGCAATACCTGAGACGGAGAACCACCAGAGCACGAAGAGGCAGAAGAACACGATCACCGGAATGGCATGGACCCACTTCTCCACCGATCTTGAAGAACCCTCTTTCTTTCCCGTGCTGGATCGCGGGTAGTAGACGGGGAGTTCATCCGCGCTGGCTCTTGGAGTGCTGTTGTGGTGGTGCTTCAGCTGTGGCTGCTGCTGCTGCGAAGGTGCGCCGCCGCTGACAGTCGCAAAAGCTTGATCTTCGGGTACCCGAGAGGAGTAAGGCAACCAAAATCTCTGCTGCATTTTGGGTTGTGAAAATTGTGACCGAGAATTTGTGGGACTCTGAATTTCTGAGGGTCGCGATTTGGGTTTCTTGGGACTGAGGATTTTCAACGACTTTGGGCGGGAATGAAGTCTTCATCACGTGCGTTGCACGTGAGTTAATAGGTCGGCGACTTCTAGGAGTTTTCTTTTCTTTGTTTGGGGCAATTGGGCCAAGGGCCCAATATAAGATGAACACAGACACGCCCCACTTTCATTTCTAATTTTCTATGGACACCCAAATTCTTTGCCCTTTCCCACTATTTCCTGTTCTGCGTCAAATGAAATTTTAAGTTTGTTAAAGAGATGAACCTTATTGTGATGATGGGTTAGTACTAACTTTATCTTACTGTATATTGGAGGGAGTCAAATTTGGATTTTGTCAAAATTCTAATATGTATATCACCTTCCTTCACCACTTGAGCTAACCTAAACCAAAAAGTCTAAAGCGAAGAACAAGCAAGAATAATCCAATCAACATAAAGTAGAGTTGCACCAGGCCGAGCCAAGCTAGGCGAATGACAGTTATTTATGAAAACTCAAAAATACGTTCAATCGACAAGCTAAGCGCTTAAATGTATTTCTTCTAAAATCGGATGACTCTTTCTCCGCCGGACAGTGGTGCTCCATATCTAGTCCCTACAATCGTACAAGCCTAGTTTAGGAGGTACAAGCTTTCCTAAGTGTATGAGACAAGACACTATAGTAAAGGGCTCCAAAATGTGTATAAAAATTTTGAGCCTGCCACATGAAAGCTGCAAAGCATCTGTGATGAACGCGCAGACCACTCACAGCTAAGCATTACTCTCGCATCGTCAGCTGTGGGCCCCTTGCACACATGTTGCCCTCTCTCTTTGTTTTATTATTGCAAAATTTACCGCAACTTCATCACTTATCCTCAATTCTCTCATTTTACATAATTCGTTTTGCTTAGTTTCTTGATTTATTTTATCCCTTGATGGAGGGTTCAAGTCAGGCTCCAACCAAAGGTGGAATTACTGAATTGAAGAAGATGTTGCTCTATGTCATGCTTAAGATAAGAAAATCTAATCTAATTATTGCAGAGTTAAAATCTTTTCTGAATCAGAAATAATTGATCATGACTAATCCCATAATGGAGCCATTTTAGTCACGTTATTGTGAAGAAAAAAGTTTGGTGTCAAAATTTGAATTTTTGTTTGTCTAAATGTGCACAAATTTTTTTTACGACAATGTAGTTTTTAATTAATTCAAAAAAGTTAACACAACCAAAAAATTGCACCTAATCAAATTATCACATAAAAATGTAAACACCTTAGATTTATGGTCTAAGGACTCTCACATTGGAGGCAAATTTCTTTAGGAATAGAAAGATTCCCTTTAAGTCCCTAATGAGTCTTCAAAGGTAATGATGGGAGTTCTGATTTGATTGTGTTGAAGATGGCTAAGTTGGAAAATAGTGACTTAAGGCCATAAAGTGCTTTTAGAACACCGAAAGCGCTTATGACCATGTTTGCTATATATCGCTTTTTAAACACTAAACATAATTGGGTTACTATCCATATAGACAATTGTTTGCTTCTTTGATAGATTCAAGAAAAAAAAGTACTTGAAGTGCTTCAGAAAAAAAAAAGAATTTATTGTTTGCCTTTTTCTAGAAACGCTTGTATTTTTATTAAAGTTTTTTATGTGCTTGTAATGGAAGCGTACGAGTGTTTTTTTGGGAAAAAAAAAAAAAGAAAGAAAAAAGACATATTCAAATGGGTTGTATACTTTCATAAAAGCACTTCTAACAAAAATCCTTAGATGAGTTTCGTATAGACTATAGACACACTCCCAAACGCAAAATCGTACCTTCCACGACTAGAACTCGTAACCAATTATAACTCTATGAGAAAAATGAACATTGTTGATAGATTTGATGACTTCCAGAAAGAATCACTCTTCTTCTCACGCGGTTTCTCCTGTACTTGTCTTCCCTCTGCTTTTAGAAAAAATGAAACACTAATAGCCGCTGCTCCTTGCTTCGACTTAGGGTTTGCGACAACCCAACTCACCTCTTTCTACCATCCTTCCTTCTTTCTCTTCCTTCTCCACCCTCTGCTTCTTCCTCTTTCCCAATCTTTCCCCATCTTTCCACCTTTTTATAGCCCTTCTTCCCTCTTTCCCATCCATCTCCACTCTTTGCATCTTCCATTTCCCCTTCTTTCCTTTATCCTTCCCCCATCTTTCTACTCAATTAGTTTTTTATTTTCTGAAATTTTTCTCTTTTGATATTTGTTTTGACTTGACTTGAGCTTTGTTCGTTTGAATTTTGACTCAATTCCCATGAGCTGGTCTCAGATCTAGATCTTCATGGCCCTATCCGCTCCGATGCTACTTTATGTCACACGTCCTTTACCACCGGCCTCTGCCACTCGGCCCGCCTTGAGTGCTAAGTATGACATTCAGTAAGAAGTAAGCCAAGTTTAGTGATCCTCGAGAATTATGGGAGCCCTCACTGCGTGGGTGGCTCGCTCACCCCCATTTTCCATTGATCTAGTTGTTTTGTTGGTTCTTTCTCTTGGTCATGGTGGTGGCCTTGCGATGGAGGCGCATCTGGTGGTTGTTGTTGGTTTCCTTTCCAGTCTTAGGGTTTTCTTTGTTATTGTCCAGCTGGTCAATTTTGGGCCTATCTACTGTATTTTCTTTTTTGTTGTTGGGCTTGTATGTAAGTAGTGGGCTGCCTTTTCTTTGTACTTGCCTTTTTTAATTAATGGAAGTTTTTTAGTTTGATCAAAAAAAAGGAGAAAAATGAACACAATCAATTACATCAATTTTGGTACCACTCTTCCATAAGAGAGTTTGCACGAATCTCTCTCAATAATGTAATAATAAAGGATGGCCCTTTGGGATGATGAATGCCTTGGTTTTATTAGACAAAGCTTTGAATGTGGTATGCTTTCCCAATTCATTAACCCTTCGAACGATTCATGGTACTTGATCTTGTCACGTCTTGACACCAAATAAAGCACCAAGGCAATGCAAACGTCCTCTAAAACCATTTTCCCTCACTACCCCCTAACTCTTTGTGTTGAATGTGACATCAAGCGATATATCTCAAGTGGATGACCCACAACAAAAAAATGGCTTAACTTGTCCAAATTTATTTTTTCTTTTTAAATACTCTGTAGGATTAACTGATATGGATTATGAGCACATGAGACTGAAAATAAAAATCTTAACCATTGGAAAAATCATATCTAATGGCTAAAAGCACATGTAAAATTAAATGATACGTAACATTGGTGTCATTCTTGTCCAAAAAAATTAACTCTAATCCTCTTTTTACCAACAAAGTTAAAAGTTAACATCTTTTTACAAATTTGTTCAATGTTACTATGAAATGACACAATTCATAGTACATTTGACGGCTCTATCAGCACTTCTTGTGCAAGGATGCCAAAATTTCAAAGCTTTTTTGGCAGCCTAAAAGATATTTACCCTCCTAAACCCTAAACCCTCAAAACTTACCACACTCAACCCCCGTCACACAATAACAAATCATTCACCGGAACCTCCACCGTCCCTCTTTGGGAAAAGCCACAATTTCCCTCAAACACATCGAAAACCCTAAAAAGGGTGTGCTTTGATCCGTCACTTCCTGTGCTCCGTTGCCTCCAAGCTTGTTTGGGCATTGTTCTTGCGTTCAAGGAGAGTGTAATGGTGGTGGTGGACAACCGTGACACATTCAAAAACGGAAAATCCCAACCCTAGAACCCCCGGCTCCACCGTCGCGGTTCAACATGAATCGGGACCCAACTCTTGTCGATTATAGGTGGAAATGGAAGAGGAGTTGATGCTGAGTTACTTCCAGGTGGTGTCTCGGCTTAATTCTCCGGAAATTGGCCAGAGAACCATCGGGTTCCATGGTTTCCGATCGGGTCAGGTCGCAAGGGAAATGGGCGAGGTGATTCCGTGCTTCTCTCCCCTCTCCCTTCCCCTCATTTCTTTTCCTCCCATTGGTCAGCCTCATCCCCTCCTTTAAATGTTAATATCTCCTTCGTTATAACTCCAAATTACATTCCGTTTGTGCTCATGTGCTCGTATCGACAAGTACTATCCAAATACATAAAGAAAAATGGAAAAATACATGCGCATCAAATATGTCCTTGAAAATTCAATTTCGTCCATTAAGGGCGTTTTCATCCTTTTACTGAAATAAATTTATGCTCCGCAAATATAAACGCATTGACAATAATAATACGAAATACGTAATTTTAAATAGTGAAATCTGGGGACGGGATTTCACAATTTATTATTTATTGCACTTACGTTTTACGAAAGGTTATGAATTATCGGATTTTCGTGTACAAAATTCTATGGATTACGAATATGATTTATTTTACGAATTTACGATTATGATTTACTATGTGTTTACGAAACCAGTGTCGGACAACTTCACTAGCCATGATTAGTGTCAGTGTTTATGTTATGCTATTATATTCAGCTTCACCTTCAGGTGATGGATAGGTTATTTAGCTTCACCTTTGGATGATGGACATGTACTACCTTCGGGCGACTATGATACCCCTAGAGAGTACAGTATTCACGAGATTTATGGATTTGCCTTCGGGCAATGATAGCACCGTTATTAAGCATGGTTTTACTCATATTTGTTTTACGAATGATTTCATGGTATATACATTTTCAAAACAGAGGGTTACTATGTTCATAAATAAATCGGTTTTCCTTATTAGTAGTATTATTATAAACTTTGGTCCACTCACCTTTTTTGTTTTTCGCCCCCTCAGAAGTTAGAATCGAGGCATACAATCCAGGCATTAAGGCACTTTCGCTAAGGTATCCTTGAGTCTCTTCTGTGTAGGACACATCCCTCAATTCGTTCTATAATAATTTTTCCACATTATTCTTTAGTAGTTGTATGCTCTGAACACGATTCTGCATTGTCGTATTTCCTTCTAATTGCATATTTTTGGTTGGATGCATGTTTAAAATGACTTCGTTACCCTCAAGTGCCAGCCAGCACGTGCCTACAGTAGTGGCGTTCCTCGAACCGAGTTTCTCCAATTTTGGGGTGTGTCAG